CGCTGTTAAGTATAATGTTGGCTGTGGGTATGTCATATATGGCCTTTATTATGTTGAGGTACTTGCCCTCTATACCCATTTTGTTGAGAGTTTTTATCATGAATGGATGTTGAATTTTGTTGAATGCATTTTCAGCATCTTTGGAGATGATCATATGGTTTTTGTCCTTTTTGTGATGTGGTGGATGATGTTGATGGATTTTTGAATGTTGAACCATTGTTGCATCCCTGAGATGAATCCCACTTGGTCATGGTGTATGATCCTCTTGATGTATTTTTAAATAAGGTTTGCTAATATTTCATTGAGTATTTTTGCATCTGTGTTCATCAGGGATATTGGTCTGTAGTTTTCTTTCTTTGTGGTGTCTTTGCCTGGTTTGGGTACTAGAGTGATGCTGGCTTCAAAGAAAGAGTTTGGGAGTATTCCCTCCTCTTCTATTTTTTGGAAAACTTTAAGGAGAATGCATATTATGGCTTCTCTAAATGTCTGATAAAATTTAGTGGTGCATCTGTCTGGTATGGGGGTTTTGTTCTTGGGTAGTTTTTTGATTAGTGATTCAGTTTCCTTGCTGGTAATTGGTCTGTTTAGATTTTCTGTTTCTTCCTTGGTCAGTGTTAGAAGGTTTCATTTTTCTAGGAAGTTGTCTTCTAGGTTATCTAGTTTCTTAGCATATAGATTTTCATAGTATTCTCTAATAATTCTTTGTATTTCTGTGGGGTCCATCATGATTTTTCCTTTCTCATTTCTGATTCTGTTTATGTGTGTAGATTCTCTTTTTCTCTTAATAAGTCTGGCTAGAGGCTTATCTATTTTGTTTATTTTCTCAAAGAACCAGCTCTTGGTTTCATTAATTTTTTCTATTTTTTTATTCTTCTCAATTTTATTTATTTCTTTGCTGATCTTTATTATGTCCCTACTTCTGCTGACTTTGGGACTCATTTGTTCTTCTTTTTCCAGTTTCAATAATTGTGAATTTTGACAATTCATTTGGGATTGCTCTTCCTTCTTTAAATAGGCCTGGATGTTATATACTTTTCTCTTTAAACTGCCTTTACTGTGTCCCACAGAAGTTGTGGCATTGTGCTGTTGTTTTCATTTGTCTCCATATATTGCTTGATCTGTTTTAATTTGTCATTTATCCACTGATTATTTAGGAGTATGTTGTTAAGCCTCCATGTGTTTGTGAGCCTTTTTGTTTTCTTCGTAGAATTTATTTCTACTTTTATACCTTTGTGGTCTGAAAAATTGGTTGGTAGAATTTCAATATTTTTAAATTTACTGAGGCTCTTTTCGTGGCCTAGTATGTAGTCTATTCTGGAAAATGTTCCATGTGCACTTGAGAAGAATGTGTATCCTGCTGCTTTTGTGTGTAGAGTTCTGTAGATGTCTGTGAGATCCATCTGTTCTAGTGTGTTGTTCAGTGCCTCTGTGTCCTTACTTATTTTCTGTCTGGTTGATCTGTCCTTTGGAGTGAGTAGTGTGCTGAAGTCTCCTAAAATGAATGCATTGCATTCTATTCCCTCCTTTAATTCTGTTAGTATTTGTTTCACATATGTCAGTGATCCTGTGTTGGGAGCATAGATATTTATAATGGTTATATCCTCTTGTTGGACTCACCCCTTCATCATTATGTAATGTCCTTATCTCTTTTTATTTTCTTTATTTTGAAGTCTATTTTGTCTGATGCAAGTACTGCAACACCTGCTTTTTTTCTCCCTATTGTTTGCATGAAATATCTTTTTCCATCCCTTGACTTTTAGTCTGTGTATGTCTTTGGGTTTGAGGTGAGTCTTTTGTAGGCCGCATATAGATGGGTCCTTTTTTATCCATTCAGTGACTCTGTGTCTTTTGATTGGTGCATTCAGTCCATTTACATTTAGGGTGATTATCAAAAGATATGTACTTATTGCCATTGCAGGCTTTGGATTCGTAGTGACCAAAGGTTCAAGGGCAGCTTCTTTACTATCTAACCATCTAAATTAACTCACTTATTACATTATTATAAACACAGTCTAATGATTCTTTATTTCTTTCCCTTCTTTTTCTTCCTCCTCCACTCTTTATATGTTAGGTGTTTTATTCTGTACTCTATTGTGCTTCCCTTGACTGATTTTGTGGATAGCTGATTTTATTTTGCATTTAGTTAGTATTTTGTTGGTCTACTTTCTTTGCTGTGGTTATATTTTCTCTGGTGACATCTGTTTAGCCTTAGGAGAACTTCCATCTAGAGTAGTCCCTTTAAAATACACTGTAGAGGTGGTTTGTGGGAGGTAAATTCCCTCAACTTTTGTTTATCTGGGAATTGTTTAATCCCTCCTTCCAATTGAAATGATAATATTGCTGGATACAATATTCTTATTTCAAGGCCCTTCTGTTTCATTGCATTGAATATATCATGCCATTCTCTTCTGACCTGTAAAATTTCTGCTGAGAAGTCTGATGATAGCCTAATGGATTTTCCTTCATAGGTGATCTTTTTTCTCTCTCTAGCTTCTTTTAATACTCTGCCTTGGCTTTGATATTTGCCATTTTAATTATTATATGTCTTGTTTTTGTTCTTCTTGGGTTCCTTGTGTTGGGAGGTCTGTGTGCTTCCATGGTCTGAGAGACTATTTTCTTCCCCAGCTTGGGGAAATTATCAGCAATTATTTTTTCAAAGACGCTTTCTATTCCTTTTTCTCTCTCTTCTTGTTCTCAGACCCCTATAATGTGAATATTGTTCCATTTGGATTGGTTACAGTTTTCTTAATATTCTTTCATTCCTAGAGATCCTTTAATCTCTCTCTGCCTCAGCTTCTCTGTGTTCCTGTTCTCTGATTTCTATCCCATTAACAGTGTTTTCCACCTCATCCAGTCTGCTCTTAAATCCTTCCATTGTTTGTTTCATTTCTGTTATCTCCCTCTGGAATTCATCCCTTAGTTTTTACATATTTCTCTGTAGCTCCATCAGCATGCTTATGACTTTTATTTTGAATTCTTTTCAGGAAGATTGGTGATTTCAGTCTCAGCAGGCCCTCTCTCTGGGGTTTGAGTGATTTTGGACTGAACAAGGTTCCCCTGCCTTTTCATGGTGATGGAAGTGATCAGGGGCGAGTGGCACATGTGTCAGAAGGAAGAACAAAATCCTTTCCTGCTTGCTGGTTGCTTTGCCTATCTCCGCTGCCTATGCCAGGCAACCGCACACAAGGAGCAGCCTCTATGTTGATCCTATGAGCTGCTGTGGACGGGGTGACCCTTGGGATAACCTATGGCACTGGCAGGGGTTGCAGGTGAGTGGCGTGTGGTCTCCCATGAGTACAGCGCCCCTTCATGCTTTTGGGACTCCATGCCATCTTCTTCTGCCTGTACCAGGCAACCACACACAGGGAGCAGCCTCTGGGTTGATCCCCTGAGCTGCTGTGGACAGGGCAGCCCTTGGGATGGCCTAAAACACTGGTTGCAAGCTATCAGCACATGTTTGCCATGAGAACAGAGCTCTCATGTGCTTTCTGGACTTGGTGCCCACTTTCTCTGCCTGTGCTGGTCAGCTGCGTGCAGGGGAAGCCTCTGGGTTGATCCCCTGAGCTGTCTGTCGTGGGTGGGGCAGCCCTCAGGATGGCCTAGAGCAGTGGTGGGGGTTGCAGACAAGCAGGGCATATTCGCTGAGAGAATAAAGTACCATTGTGCCTTCTGGATTCTGCACTGGTCTCCGCTGTTGGTTGACTGCAGGCAGGAGACAGACTCTTTGTCTGGCCCAGTTAGCCACATGCTGGGAGAACCCTCTGTGTGGTTGCTGTGGGTGGGGCTTCTCCCCAGTTGCTCCACAGCAAGGGCATATCAGCTGGTTTGCTTGCAGTGCCAGCAGGGGTGAATGAACTGCAGGTTGTTTATCACTGTGAGGGGCTTTGTTGCTGCATTGTCACCCAGGGGGTTAGGGCACCTGAAGTTCTGGTTGTTTAGGAGTCCTGTGCTTCCACTCCCTCCCCACTCCGATTCTTTTCCTCCCACTGGTGAGCTGGATTGGGGGAGTGCTCAGGTTCCGCCGGGACATGGCTTTGTATCTTATCCTTTTCATGATATGTTGAGTTCTTGCAGATGTAGATGTAGCCTGGCTGGTGTACTGTATCTCCTGGACACTCTTTTAGGAATAGTTGTATTCAGTGTATTTTCAAAGTATATATGGTTTGGGGAGGAGATTTACATCACCCCTACTCACGCCACCATCTTGAGAATCTGCTATCTGGCCTGAGACTTTTTGTCTGAAACAACCAGTTTGAGTCTTCTGACCACTGCCTGGAGTTCTGACTTTAGAAGATGATGTGATTATTTGCTTAGAACAGGCTAGCCGTAAGATATAAGTGACAAGCTGACAACAAAAGCAAAAGTTCTGTTGCTTCTTCAGCAATTGCAATTGCAATGATGTGGGCCTCTTTGTATTTCCAGATCATTCTATAAACCCTATTACAAATGCAAAATTTTCCAGATCATTCTATAAACCCTATTACAAATGCAAAATCAGCATGACCTGATTTGAATGCAGTGCCCCTCTGCATTCAACAATCCTGCACATAACTGATTTCTTTCTGTTCTTGGAGAACTGAATTGGGACTAAGGTGTATGACTGGTTTCAGTACTGCAAAGTTATAAAACATGGACACTTTGAGTGGACTTACTTTGAAGGCTCAGCAAGAACACTCAAAATTATATCCCAACAACACAGCAGAATTTCCCTTGAAATACATATTTCACAGCATTAATTCTGTGGTGGTACTTTCCTATTCTTGCTAAATAGAAGCATTCAGTATTTTGACTAGGAGGCTGAGGCAAATGTACTCCCAAAATCTAGACAGAATATTGTTTTTAGAACCCATTCTATTCTTAGAGGTGTAGAAAGAGGCTAAAAAATTGTCTTCAGCTAACGCCAGTCATTGGCAAAACCTAGTCTCAAAATATCCAATCCTCTTTTTGTCTGAAGCCGTGTAATGCTCAGATGCAGCTTCACCCCATCTTTCCCTCCTTACCACTGGTGTTTTTTTGGCTGAAAGTTGGGCCCATAATTTCACAAAGTAGTTTTTGTGTGTGGAATCCATGAAATCACACAGATTTGAAGTAGTAAACCTCCTAGAAGACTCTCTGGATTTCAGCAGAGGTGTGTTAACACCTGGTAGGAAAAAAAACAACAACAAAAGTTTAAGATAAAAGGCATAATATAGGATAAGGGTACTTTCTGAAGTGAAAGAACCTTTTATGTCTGGATTGTCCTACACACAGAAAACTGCATCCCTAAAGTGTGTGCATTTCAAGTTGAAAGTAAGGTAACTAAAACTATGTCTCATAATTATTATTGATAATCATAAATCCAGGCCATAGCACCTAATAGACACATCCTGGGAATATGTTTAGTGTTCAGTCAGTACAGGTTTATGAATGGAATTATAGGAAATACATGTTAGCAAAACACTACCTTCCAGATAATTAACTGTATAATTACTTTCCATTTGCTATAACTCTCCTAAAAAGCTAAGAAGAAAACAAAGTGTTCATGCTAAGAAGAGCCTTAGAAGGGATGATGAGGTATCTGTTTAATAGAATTTATTCATATATAATATGTAATATTTTCTTAAAACATATCAACATAATACACCACATCAACAAAAAGGACAAAAATCAAATGATCATCTCAATAGATGCTGAAAAAGTATTTGACAAAATTCAATATTCATTTATGATAAAAACTCTCAACAAATTGGATATAGAGGGCAAGTACCTCAACATAATAAAGGCCGTATATGACAAACCCACAGCCAACAACATACCTAACAGTGAGAAGTTGGAGGTTTTTCCTCTAAGATCAGGAACAAGAAAAGGATGCCCACTCTCACCGCTTTTATTCAACATAGTACTGGAGGTCCTATGTTGTACTGAGTACAACAGTACGCAATCAGACAACACAAAGAAATAAAAGGCATTCATATTGGTAAGGAGGAAGTCAAACTGTCACTATTTGCAGATTACATGATACTGTACATAAAAAACCCTAAAGAATCCACCCCAAAACTACTAAACTAATAACTTAATTCAGCAAAGTTGCAGGATACAAAATTAATACACAAAAATCTGTTGCACTCCTATATACTAATGATGACCTAGCAGAAAGAGAAATCAGTAAAACCACTCCATTTACAATTACATAAAAAAGAATAAAATACCTAGGAATAAACCTAACCAAGGAAGTGAAAGACCTATACCCTGAAAACTACAACATACTCATGAGAGAAATTAAAGTAGACACCAGTAAATGGAAATATATCCAATGCTTATGGATAGGAAGAATTAATATTGTTAAAATGGCCATCCTGCCTAAAGCAATCTACAGATTCAATGCAATCCCTATCAAAATAGCAATGGCATTCTTCAATGAACTAGAGCAATAGTTCTAAAAGTCAAATGGAACCACAAAAGATCCCAAACAGCCAAAGCAATCCTAAGAAGGAAGAACAAAGCTGGGGGGATTATGTTCCCTAATTTCATTGTCTACTACAAAGTCACAGTAATCCAGACAATTTGGTACTGGCACAAGAACAGACCCATAGATCAATGGAACAGAATAGAGAGCCCAGATATAAAGCCACACATATATGGTCAATTAATATATAATAAAGGAACCATGGATATACAACCGGGAAATGACAGCCTCTTCAACAATTGGTGTTGGCAAAACTGGACAGCTACAAGTAAGAGAAGAAAACTGGATTACTGTCTAACTCCATACACAAGTCAACTCGAAATGGATCAAAGACCTGAATGTAAGTCATGAAACCATAAAACTCTTAGAAGAAAGTATAGGCAAAATCTCTTGAATAAACATGAGCAACTTTTTCCTGAACACATCTCCTCAGGCAAGGGAAATAAAAGCAAAAATGAGAAAATGGGAATACATCAAACTAAAAAGCTTCTGTACAGCAAAGCACACCATCAGCAGAACAAAAAGGCATCCTATAGTATGGAAGAATACATTCGTAAATGACTTATCTGATAAGGGGTTGACATCCAAAATATATAAAGAGCTCACATGCCTCAACACCCAAAAAACAAATAATGTGATTAAAAAATGGGCTGAGGATCTGAACAGACACTTCTGCAAAGAAAAAACTCAAATGGCCAACAGGCACATGAAGAGATGCCCCACATTGCTAATCATCAGGGAAATGCAAATTAAAACCACAATGAGATATCACCTCACACCAGTTAGGATGGCCAACATCCAAAAGACAAGAAACAACAAATGCTGGTGAGGATGTGGAACAAGGGGGACCCTCCTACACTGTTGGTGGGAACAGAAATTAGTTCAACCATTGTGGAAAGCAATATGGAGGTTCCTCAAAAAACTAAAAATAGAAATTCCGTTTGACCCAGGAATTCCACTCCTAAGAATTTACCCTAAGACAACAAGATCACAGATTCAAAAAGACATGTACGTTTATTGCTGCACTATTTACAATAGCCAAGAAATGGAATCAACCTAAGTGTCCATCAGTAGATGAATGGGTAACGAAGAAGTGGTACATATATACAATGGACTTATTATTCAGCCATAGACAAAAACAAATCCTACCATTTGCAACAACATGGGTGGAGCTAGAGTGTATCGCACTCAGTGAAACAAGCCAGTCAGAGAAAGACAAGTACCAAATGATTTCCCTCATTTGTGGAGTGTAACAACGAAGTAAAAGTGAAGGAAGAAAGCAGCAGACTCAGACTTCAAGAAGGGATAAGCAGTTACAAAAGAGAAGAGGTTGGGGATAGTGGGTGGGGAGGGAGGGAGGAGGGAATTAAGGGGCATTATAATTAGCACACACAATACAAATAGGTCACAGGGAAGGCAATACAGCACAGAGAAGACAAGTCATGATTCTATAGCATCTTACTACACTAATGGACAGTGACTGCAATCTGGTGGGGGGAACTTGATCATATGGGTGACTGTAGCAACCACTACATTGGTCACGTGAAACCTTCATAAGATTGTATGTCAATGATACCTTAATTAAAAACAAACAAACACAAAACATTAGAACGTATAGAGACCTAGAATATAAAGACCCTGAATTTCCTTTACTGCTCATCTATAAAGGGCCCATGTGTAAATGCCTTTGGATATATAGGAGGGAGCATCAACACTCTCAGTAGTACTGCTTTAAAAATGCTAAGATAAATGATTTCCACATGTCCTACCAATCAAATATGGCTGACTGAACAGATGTGGAAAGCTACCCTCACGCAAAGACAAAAATTACCTAATAACACATAAAAGAAATTTATTTTGTTTTTAATACATAGCAAAGCTGAAACTAAGAAAGATACATTTCCAGATGTTGGCATTGACATGAAGATCCCACGTTGGAAGAATGGAAATTGATGCCAAGAGGTTAGTGTATGTGGGTAAAATTGCAGTATTTCCAGAACCTCTCCCCTGGCTTTAGTTCATCTGCATATCAATAGGTAATTACAAGGGCGTGTGAGGGCTTATCCGGACCAGAGAGGTTGGGTGGAGCTCTCCTCTTCTGCTGCAGCTGGTCAAGAGATAGAGACAGGATGACTGCTTGTAAGAAATAAATGGGTTTCTTAACTTTACTTCTCCCTTTGACTGATTTCGATTTTAGAGGTATTTTGCCCCAGGATTTTCCCCCTGGAGTTACAGTGGATCAGGGGCTGAGGTGTCTAGACTGAGAAAGGACACTTCCTGTGTGCTTGATGTACAAGACTTGGGATCTTTGATGATGTGAGAAGTTGGAAAGGGGTGTCTAGAAATCTCAGCCAACAGACCTAGGATTTTGCCTGGGCACAGAGTCTCACCTGGATTGAGGGTGGAAATACCTGTGGGAAATCAGACCTCTAATCCTGTGCTGTGTGCTGGTATGGACTCTGAACTTGAACTTTCACAAAATTGTGTGGTAATCCTAAACCAATAGGGTAAGGTAAAAGCTGTGGCAGATGAGAAAAAGTTGATCATGATAGGGAAGCTTAAATGCCACATTCCAGCATCTGTCTTGGGTGGGAGAGAGACTCAGAAGATCAACAAATGAGCAAATCCAATCCCAAGGAATTCCAGCTGATAAAGTAATCTGAGCAGTAATCCATTAAATAACTATGTTTATAACCATCACAATGATAATAGGAGACAATTGCATGTGGAAACATTCTTTGTTAAATCATGATGGGAACGCCATCAATCCCTATTTGTTGAGCACCTGCTATGTGCAGACAGTGCTCTGGATATTGAGGATACAGCAGCAAATAGGTCTTTGACCATTGGGAATTCCTTCTAATGCTGGAGTCAGTCAACGCATCAGATGATGTCAGGTAGTGATGAGCGCAACTGAAGGAACAGGAAGCCAGATAAGGGGACAGAGTGAAAGATGGCCTGACGGTAAAAGAAGGCTTCTCTAAGGTGGTCTAGACTGTGATCTAAAGTCACGAAGAAGAAAAATGTTCAAGTATCTGGGGTAAAGCATATCTCGCAGAGAGAGGGCCTTTGCATAAGGGCCCAGTAACATGCTTAACCTAACCAAATTACAGTAAAGAATTCAGCATGACTCAAGCAAGTAAAAAATATATAAATGAGATGGAAGGGGTGCTCATTTAAAAAAAAAGAGGAAAATTTGTCCTCTTGATGGGACTCTAAGAACAGAGCATTATGTAAATGACCAGATAAAAAACTAAAGAAATAGAAGCAATATCTATTGAGATAATTTCTACAGAAATGATCTTCTATGTATATGTATATATAACTTATATGTATAAATTTATATATATGTAAAAGCTTATAAAATATTGTATTTGTGTCAGCGTTCTTTTCCTAGCTTCCTAAGACATAAGCCATTTATACTATGATGTAAACAAGTCAAACTCAATCTGATGATACAGTGCAGCTGTAATTTCAACAATTTAATGTCTTCATGGTTTTTCAACAACTACACAGTTTGGGTAAAGAGAATGCGTTTAGACTACTATTAAACTACACTGTAATGCCTTCACTTTAATGACCTGGACTCTTACAATAATTTCCATCAGTGCTTAATATAGTTTCTAATGTTGTAAAACATCAATGGACAAGAGATCTAGTCCTCAATTTGAAAAACCCAAGGTTACAATACTCTG